TATACCCGGGGTTTTAGGAGCTTGGGGTCTTCCGCAGCTGACTTCGGGCTCAGAAGCAGCGTCAATAAACTTCGCAGATTGCATCTACCAGAAGGGTCCTGACCATTCTTGTCTCGGTCCGTGTTGCGCCGTGTCATCCGCGCGCCACACTTGGTAACTGGCATTTAATTTGAAATTCGAGCCCCCTCTATTCAGTTCCTTTCAGTGGCTGTGGTAATTATATAATTGTCAATTTGAGAGGATTATGAGTGAAAGGGTGGAGCCTAGTCTGTCAATTGGATCATAGCCAATGAGGCTTCTGTGTGGGAATGGCCTTCTGAGAATTCTGGGAAATCTGGTATTTCCTCCTTGGAGGTGAGAGACTCTCTGCTCACACACTGGGAGACAGAGTAGCTGACAAGACATATGGACCCACCCTAATGCAGCCCTGTGTGCAGAGAGCCATGCAGAGACCCCTGCCAGCGCTGAGATGTTTCAAATGCCACTGGTTTCAAAGACTTTCTACCCACTAGCCTGTGATCTTCTACATTCAGTGTCATTGCATGTTTCTTGAGTCTGAAGAGGACCTTATAGATTGGTATCAGACATATGGGCTAATATCAGACTTATGAACGTGATCTGGACTGGGCTAGGATGTTTTCTCAGTGTTCAATTGCTCTTGCATATAAATCTCTTTCTTATACACATATGTATGCCCATGGATTTGTTTCTCTAGTCTACCCAGACTGCCACAGTGGCCTTACACTGTGAGAATGGCTGTGGCAAATTGGAGGTTGATTTCACCATTTAGTCAATTAGTTGTGAGTGTAAAAGCAGGAGTTTCCTTCTTCAGAGGAAATGGATGGTTATGATGTTACATTGGGACACTAGGTTATCAAGACTCAAATTATAACTTGAGAAAAAGGTCACAGGGCGAGGAAGAAAATAAATACATTTTAAAAACTATGTCCAAGAAGAAAATTTGGGTGTGATTACAGATTCATGGAATTTATAGATGTAAATACATATGAAGTCCTACTTAGTGTTTAAAAGAATTGTGTGGTCAAATCAACCGCAAGCCTTGCCTTTAAAAGCCTTGGATGTAAAAGAGCCCCCAGAGCCCCAAACATGTGCCAGCTGGAAATGGGCAGTGAAAACTATGAACTCTCCCAAGGAGAGCTTACTTCTCAATGCTCACTTCAGGTGTGGCTTTGGAAGAGACTGAACAAAGAGGAACCTGCCAGAGTAGGTAAGCTTGCTGCAGTACTTTCTGTACCAGGGGCTACAGAAATTAGCAAACAAGTGTATTATTCACCCTTGAGAACAGAAACAGTATGTAGTTATAGAACTCCCTCCAGTGCATGGCTGGGAGTAGACTGATGTAATAACCATGCTGGAGGATTCTATTATTTATATGGACACTGGCTACGGAACGTCACTGAACTCTCAAAGTTCTGATCCAGTCTATCTATGGAGAAGCATTTGGGAATCGCTAAGATGGGAGAAAGTGGAGAGACTCACAAAGGGACCAGTTGCTGTTGAATGGACTCCAAAATATGGCTTCCAAGGACCTTCCTTCCAAGGACTCAAACCTCCAACCTTTTCGGTTAATTTCTGAATACTTGAACTTTTGCACCAACCAGGAACTCCATAAATAATGATAGCTTTTGATAGGGTGCCAAGTACTATGCACTCTGGATCCACACATTCCCTCAGATATGTACTATTTTATGTGCGTTTAACAAGTAGGGACACTGAGATGCAGTTAAGTAATCTGAGATGTAACTGGACATTTTAGAGCTAGGATTCCAAACTATGAAGCTTACTTACAGAGTATTGACCCAAGATTCAAAACTATGGTGCTGACCTCCACAGTATTGACTCTTAATCCTATCATATTTTATCATCATAGACATATACTATAAATGATGAACCACAAAAGGGAGACAAAGCCTATACACAAATAAATTACATATAAGGATATGCATTATCTAGTAAAGGAGACATTAAACCTTTTACAATCTACCAGAATATAAACTCTTCATTACCTTTGAACCTTGATAGGTACTTGCTTTGTTTACTGATGAATCATTAGTTCCTAGCACACCATCTGGCTCACAGTAGGTGCTCAATAATATTTGTTAAATGAATGAAGAATTGAGTACCAGAGTTCTATAGTATCAGATTGACACACTGGCTGCAACAACGGGTTCAAATAGAGGACTGAGTGTGAAGACAGCACTGGCTGGGCAATGTTTTATTCTGTTGTACATAGGGTTACTATGAGCTGGAAACAGCTCAACAGCATTTAACAATAACATTGTATTAGATAGCATACTATCGAGATGTTAAACGTAATTTGCCCTATTGCTTACAGCGTTTAGTATACCAGGACCAACAAATGGTCCCAGAACTAAACTAGGAGAAAAGTGCACTGTCTGCTCATTGTTGTCGTCTCCTTTATCTTTGCAATGGAAGGTGTCCCACCCTCCAAATCCATAGGCTTTGTGAAGGATTGCTTTTACCAAAGATTCTCACCTACTTTAACTTCTTAAGAGCTTCATTCATGTTCAGGAAGTAAATTGAGATCTCTGACATTTGCTCACTCTCATCCTCCTGTATGGCCCGTTCTTGTAGTTAGTGACATTGGGTGCACTCTGATGAGTTGCGATGCTGATCATCTGTACCTTATGTTGTACTGTATTTAAAAGAAAACTAGATTGATTTTATTTATTACGTCTCTATGGGAAGACTGTGGGCATATAGCAGTGATTAAGAATACCATGTAAAAATGCGTTTGTTTTAAAATTAAAGACAATAAGGATTCAATTGTGAAACAATTAAAAAAATCACATTTTAGATTCTCATTCCAAGAAGCTAGACCAATCTTTTCCTTCTTCTTTTTTTCAAGCTGCAGGTTTTCTTCCCAGTGAAGGAGGGAGAAAGGACAATCCAAACCATCCACAAATCTCTCATTTTTGCTAGTCAAGACTGAATTATGTCTTGAGTTAGTTATTTTCTGGTGATTCCAGACTTCAATGGTTAGTCGGCTACTTCTTTCTTGGCTCAAGGAATAAGAGGAGGGGGTAAATACATTTCAGTTCTTAAAAAAAAAGCAAGGCAAGGCAGACACACAAAATATGGGGACTCAGAGATCATATACTATCTAGCTTAATTGACGCTGTCTCTCAACCCCAACTGACAAGGATATTGCAACAATAGACAGATACCAACCCATGGAGGCTTCATCTCCATACAAAACAATCACCTCTCTCACTCCCACGAACAGGATGAGAGACCTGAGGTCCTACTAGCTCCAAAGGCATTCAAATAGACCAATTTTTCTTAACCCGGGCTCTTCCACCATGCTGCCTGGAGCTGCTGCTTCCAGAACACAAATTCGTAAAGGGGTGTCGTCGCACCATCGCTGGTAAGTCACAGCTTTGAAAAAAGGATCTCCGTCGCTAATAACAAAACCACCGGTGGAGCTAAATCGCAGTCGCCGTCCGACCTCGGTAGGACCGTTTAGGCCCTCGGCCAGGGCTGCACCTGGGGCGGAGCTTCCCCGTAGGTGCCGGGAGGCTCGCGGGACGGACCGGGGTGCGCGGGCAGCGCCCCGGAGCCGCTGGCCTGAGCGCAAAGCCCGGGTCCGCTCCCTGGGCGAGCTCACGTCCCGGCGAGGCAAACGTCTGCTTGGTCCGGAGCTTGGTTATGTCCGCCCTACTCGCCTCCGTGCGAAAGGCCAAGGGCTTTGGACCCACCACTGCCCAGGCCGAGCTCGCGCCGCCGACTCGAGGCGCGGTCCGGGGAGCAGAGAAAGCAATCGCGCCGAGGCGAGACACTGTCAATGGACACGGCATCTGCCAGGAAATCAACACTGTCAACGGACACGGCATCTGCGAGGAAATCATCTTCCTCCTTGGCTCGGCGCGTCGGTAGCGCCAGGGGACGATCCTCCCAGAAGATCCCGCCCGCCACCTCGCTCCGTCCACCC